GGGATCCGACAATCTAGTTTTTTATCCTTGGCAGCATTTCTTATGGGGAAATGTAGTCTAGTGTTCCTCGAGCCATAGTAGTCCGCTACAGCCCGGTTCACCGGAGTCCTACTAGCCCAGCACTACTGCTCAGGACACTTGACTGGCCGGCATGTGTTTCACTTCGTTCCTATGTCCGTCCCTTTGGGGAAATGTCACGCGGTGACATCCGGAGTCCTGCCTAGCTTGCTACAGCCCGAGTTCCCCGAAGTCCTGTTAGCCCAGTGCTACAGCCCGGATTCACTCGCTGATGACCGACATGCTCGATGTGATTCACATATGCCTATCTCCATAGGTCTGTGCCTCTTTGGGTTCACGACTAGCCATGTCGGCCCGGGTTCTCTGTCATATGGATACTAGCGACACTACCATATACGTGAGCCAAAAGGCGCAAACGGTCCCGGGCCATGGTAAGGCAATACCCGTGGGATACCGTGCGTGAGGCCGCAATGTGATATGAGGTGTTACCGGCTAGATCGATGTGACTTGGAATTGGGGCCCTGACAATACTAATATCTCTACAACCCTAGCGTCACCGAACCTTAAGTATGTAGACCCTACGGGTTTGGGAGACACGCAGACATGACCGAGACGACTCTCCGGTCAATAACCAACAACGGGATCTGGATACCCATGTTGGCTCCCACATGTTCCACGATGATCTCATCGGATAAACCACGATGTCGAGTATTTAATCAATCCCGTATACAATTACCTTTGTCTATCGGTACGATACTTGCCCGAGATTCGATCGTCGGTATCCCGATACCTCGTTCAATCTCATTACCGGCAAGTCTCTTTACTCGTTCCATAACACATCATCCTGTGATCAACTCCTTGGTCACATTGTGCACATTATGATGATGTCCTACCGAGTGGGCCCAGAGATACCTCTCCGTTACACGGAGTGACAGATCCCAGTCTCGATTCGTGCCAACCCAACAGACACTTTCGGAGATACCCGCAGTGCACCTTTATAGCCACCCAGTTACGTTGTGACGTTTGGTACACCCAAAGCATTCCTACGGTATCCGGGAGTTGCACAATCTCATGGTCTAAGGAAATGATACTTGACATTAGAAAAGCTTTAGCATACGAACTATACAATCTTGTTCTAGGCTTAGGATTGGGTCTTGTCCATCACATCATTCTCCTAATGATGTGATCCCGTCATCAACGACATCCAATGTCCATGGTCAAGAAACCGTAACCATCTATTGATCAACGAGCTAGTCAACTAGAGGCTTACTAGGGACATGGTGTTGTCTATGTATCCACACATGTATCTGAGTTTCCTATCAATACAATTCTAGCATGGATAATAAACAATTATCATGAATAAGGAAATATAATAATAACTAATTTATTATTGCCTCTAGGGCATATTTCCAACATGGCGGTGTGGCCGTCCCGCCGCACCGAGGGGTGCAGCGAGGATAATTGCCGCTCGTTCCCCGCCGGGCCGGTGGCGGCATTGGCGGCTGGTGACGGGGAACGACGAGGTGGCCCGCCGATGGGAGCCGTCTGAGCGACGCGGGCGGAGATGGTAGCCCGGCGCTCAGCACGAGCGCGGCGCACGTCTGCCATGGATACGACGGAGCAACGGGACGCGGAGCGACAGAAGGAAGCTTCGGCACACCCCTACCTGGCGCGCCAAATATCGGATCACGGGTTTCGGCAAAACCCTCGAGGTTCGAACACTGGGGTGCGCGCGAAGGTTTTCTCCCTATCAATCCACGCCCTAGCTTGCTAAGATCTCGCGGATGAACTCGACGAACTCACAAGATAAAGACACAAGATTTATACTGGTTCGGGCCACCGTTGTGGTGTAATATCCTACTGTAGTGTGGTGGTGGATTGCCTCTTGGGCTGATGATGAACAGTACAAATGGAAGAACAATCTCCTGAGGTTGAGGTGTTCTTGTGCTTGGCGAACTTGTGTGGGTGAGATGCCTCTGAATGAGCTCCCCCCCCCCGCCGTCCTTCTTTTCCCTCTCCGAATGAGTCTTGTTTTCTACTGTGGTGGTTAGTTCTACTTATATAGGCCCTGATCCTCTCCCCAAATATTGAGCGGGAAGGGAGCCAACAACGGCCAATTTGAAAGGGGACAACTAGTATAACTTATCCTGACAAAAGTAGTCTTCGCCTGCAAAAGGCTCTGGTGGTGACGCCGTCTTGGGCTCCATGGTGACCTCCGTCTTGTCGTCCTGCTGGTCTTGGTCTCGTTGCACCGATATGGAAACCTTTGCTTGATGCCTCCGTACTCCGCACATGCGCTTGCCCCCTTGGCACCAAAGAGGAAACAAGGACGCTGCGCGCGCTGGCGCCCATCTGGCGCTCGCCTGGTCTCGATCGTCATGGCTCATGTCACGAGGACCTCGCGAGGTTTGCCTTGCCTTGATCTCTCCGCCCCTCGTAAGCCTGCCTGGCGAGGCCACTCCTGAGGAGGTCTTGCGTCGTCCGCCTCGCGAGGTTTGGCCCCTCGCGAGGGTCTTGAATACCTCGTCGATGAAGATAGGACGTACAGACCTGCTAGCTCAGCAACGCCGTGGGCCGCAGGCAGGCAAGTCTGGGGACCCCCGTTCCCAGAACGCCGACAGATTCCTTTCGGGTGGCTAGGCGGTACACGGAGGTTGTCGTCCTGGTTGTCACGGCTGCATTATTTACAGTGATACAACCAATCAGCCTGTTATGGTTGTACCACACATGACTTAGCGACCGTAGGTGCTCTACCACTGTAGTTGTTCCGGACCATGCATCGGCCCAAGTACCATGGAACAAGTGATTCTGTTGGGTTACCAGTGCGGTACATGGTTGTACCTATCCGGTTGTCCCGGTTGAATGCTATTCAACGGTACTAATGGATGTGCTGGCGGTTGTACCGCACTGGGAACCGCTGGCTGCCAAAACTTCCTTGAGCGTTTGTACCAGATCCTGATCCGGTTGTACCACTCACATGTATTTCTACGATGGAATGGTTGGATTGGGGAGGGGGGTCCTATATAAGAGGTGGTTCTTCCACCTCTCCACTTATCTCTTGTCGTTTTGTGCTCTCCATTGTTGCCCTAAGAGCTTTCCTGCCCGATCTCCTTCTCTAGCCAATCAAACTTGTTGATTTGCTAGGGATTGAGGAAGGAGACCTAGATCTACACTTTCATCAAAGGAAATTGATCCCCCCATACTTTCACTTGTGGATCTTGTTACTCTTGGGTGTTTGGACATCCTAGATGAAAGAGGTCACATTGGATCCACATTCCAATGTGGTGATGCTTCGTGATGGTGTTGGGAGCCTGCAATTAAGTTGTGGAGAGAGCCCTAACCTTGTTTGTATTGTGCGAGGGCGTGAGGAAAATATGTTGGTCCTTCTGACTTGTTGGAGAGCATTGTGCCTCCATACCTCTTCAACAGAGACGTATCTCCCCCAAAGGAGGGAACTTCGGAAACACATCCTCGTCTCCATCGACTCCACTTGCGGTTACTTCATTCCTTTACTTTGTGCAAGTTTGTATCGTGTTTCTTGTCATATAGGTTGTCAACCTACTTTCTTGTTGAACCTAAAATTTGATAAAGAGGCTAAAAATTGTTAGTTCCTATTGACCCCCCTCTGCCTCTCTAGTCGACCATACCAATCCTTTCAGACGTATAAATTAATTATGTGCAATTAACTGTCTAGCTAATTAATTGGTTTCAGTTGTGGGTGAGGCAAAGATTGGACGTGAGAAAAACCGAGACTATTTTTAGGCATTAATGGTAGTTGTCAGGGTCAAATCCAGCGAATCTCGGGTACAGGGTCCCGAGCTGGTGATCTTAGCTTGATGGTAACAGAACAAAGAGGGACACAATGTTTTACCCAGGTTCGGGACCTCTCGAAGAGGTAAAGCCCTATGCCCTGCTTCTATTGTATTGATTTTTGATGGAGTATAAAGTATAGGATGATCTACCTTGAGATCGTATGTGAATGGATCTTACCCTACGGTCTATAACCCCTCGGCTTATATAGGCACCGAGGGTACCTAGTGTTACACGTAGGTCGGTTACATCTAGGGATAAACATGCCAATGATTCAAATGTGTCTTGGAGTATGCTTCAAGTCTTTGGAGGATTCCATCCTGAGTACGCCGTGGGGCATGGAAAACATGGTCCATTCTTTGGATGTCTAGGGATCCTCGACCCGGCCCATGATTGACAGGCAGACGTGCTTAGCACCTCATAGTTTAGGACACCATTAGTCATATTCTTATTTGTCACCCAATTTCCAAGTTAAGAGAACCAACATGTAGTGAATCTGTTTTTTTATTGATTTGTTAGCGATAGATCTACTATTTTTGATTGACTTATTATCACAGTGTAGCAATCATATCTGAACTAAGGAAAGGAAGTAAAGGCACATATAAATAATCCAAATGCTATTGTGTTGATGTCAGACATTTCACGACTCGCAGCAAACATGCTATACGCCGTTGAATTCCCAACATGAATCCCAAAGCATTCACTTCCACACACTCCTCTGAGCAAACTACGTGCTGACGGCAGTATATAGTTCACTCTGGACGGCAATCTCAGCAAACACTTTTTGAGATGGCAGATTATGTTGGAGTATGAAAATTTCACCATTTCACTCATCTAGTAAGGCTTCTTTCAACAAAGTGGTGAACATGTGCATGACAATTCTCGCCATTTTATTTTTTAGGCTGGCAATTTTACATGCTACAATCATGGCAAATCCTCGAAAACGCATGGCAAACATACTGCCGCAACATGACAATTTTCTCATATGGTATGACAAATTTTACTTTATTTTCTCCGCGAATACGCAAAGCTTGTGGATCATTCCATTGATAGAAGGAGTTTGAACAAATATAGAGGGGTGGTACAACACGTGATACGTGTGCTAGGAGGTGTAACCACGATGACCGGAGCAGAAGGCTAAAGGGGTTGCTCGACCCCAAAGAACTCTAGGTCTACGTCGCTGGCAAGAGATTGATCATTCCTTTGGCGCCAGCTTTAGCCCACAAGCACGCCTCATCTTGGATCTCCTGAAAAAGACGCAAGATGGATGATTGCTTACCATCGAAAATGCACGCATTGCGCTGGCACCACCTAGGCCATGAGAATGATGATGGAGGAGAGTCCCCGACGATGGGTGTTGGGGGCATTGGTGCAGGAATCCGCCAACCAAGTGGAGAAGCCCATTGTCGAGTCGGGTAACGATGTCGTGGATCGACACTAAGATAGCACCTCGGGCCAAACATGTCGGGAAAAGGAACAACCGACAAGCAAGTGTTGAATGACTTCGGGGGACTTGGTCATAGAAAATGCACCATTCATCATGCGGGATGCCATGGCGAGCAAACCTATTTGCCGTCCAACAAGTATCTTGGAAGGAGAGCCAAGTGAACACCTTGATGCGGAGAGGTGCCCAGGTTTCCAAGTAGTGCACCAATTAGGACCTAGGATCGATCCATGGAAAAGGGAAAGGTAGTAGGACTTGACGGTGTAGTTGCCGGACTTCGTCCAACGCCAATGAAATGTATCCGACAAGTTTATGAGCTCTAGGTGGTGTAGGCGACGCCAGGTCTGAACATATTGCACGAGCGTAGCAGGCTTGAGTCCGCCGTGAATGTCACGGATCCAAGCCCGATCCATCAAACCTTGGCGCATAGTGTGGTTTCGGTGGCATCGCTTTGGGCACCGCAACAAGAAATGAGCGGGGCTAGGTCAGCAATGGGGTTCCCGTCGATCCAAGAGTCGGACCAAAACAAGCAAGTATTCCCATCACCAACAGACCATGATGTAGAGGCGCAGAAAATCTACAAGGCCTCGACATCGGCAGGGGGTGGAACTGACTCCAAGGGCGAGTCGGGTCGGTGCGCTTGAGCCACAACCAGCGGGTTGCGACGCATGCCATCACGATAGAGATCTTAGCCCGGTGGTGGCAAACCTTAGCCCAGTTGATCTTGCACCGACCACCCTTGGCATCCTTGCGGCCGGCCCAAAGAAAACCGTGGATGATCTGGTTGACCATGGCGAGGATCGTCTTGTTGAGGACGATGGCGACGAGTAAGTGGGTAGGCATTGCACAAATGACGTGCCGAACTAGCGCAAGTCGGTGTCCAAGAGATAACATGGAAGCCCGCCAAGTGGATAGCTTCTTCTCGAGCTTGTCAACAAGCAGGAGAAGGTCGATGTCGGATGGCTTCCTGATGGAAAGAGGAAGATCCAGGTACTCCATGGGTAAGTGGGCGATGGGGCACGCAATGGAGGCGGTGAAGGTGATCACCTGGTCATCATAGCACTGGATAGGTGTCGCAGAGCACTTGTTGTAGCTGGTGCACATCCCGCTGACATTGCCAATGAGGGTAAGCAACTCTTTGATCACCGAAGATCTATGCTCGTCAGGTGGCAGAAAATGATGATGTCATGGGCGCATAACGAAACACTACAGGTCGTGTGTTGCGTCTGCAGGAGGCTCACTCGACTCGCAACTTGGATGAGAGAGTTTAGGACGTCGATGACCAAAACGAAGAGAAGGGGGGGTCTCCTTGGCAAAGGCCCCTTGCGTGGAAGATGGGTGGGCCGGGGATGCCGTTAACAAGGACACGTGTGGAGGCGGATGCAGGGGTGATAGAAATCCACTCCTGCCAACGTGCGCCAGAACCAAAGTGAGTGAGGGTTTCAAGGAGGAAAGGCCACAACACCAAGTCAAAAGCATGGGCGATGTCGAGCTTGAGAAGCATCCGGGGTGTCTTGAGGTTACAAATTTTACTTTAGAACATGATAAATCTTCCACAATAGCGCGGCAATTTTACTGGTTTTTACATGACAATTCGAAAACTTTTGCTGTGAGTGATTATTTTGAGCGAACAAAAATGTTCGTTCATTCCTCGTTCATTCATTCCTCCCTGCCTGGGGATCGAATCATTCGCTTGGAGGGACCTTCCCATATGATGTTGCGCGTATATTGTGCTCCTACAGAAAATCATTAGTCTTCAAAAAGTCGGTTGTACAAAATAAAAAACGGAAAGCAACAAATAATAGATGGGAAGAAAGGCTTCACCAAACATGCGACACCAACTTCCTTTTAATAATAGAGATTAATAGTAGAGACGAGATGCGACTGTTAAGGCCCCGTTCGTAATCTCTCTGCTCCTCCACTCCGCGGAGTTGGTGGAGCTCGGTCTTTGCAGCTCCATTAAAGTGAGGTCCGCTCCGGGAGCAGAGTTAAGAGAGCGGAGAGGAACCGAACGCTTCCTAAGTCTCGAGCTGTCCGGCATGGACCCTCCGTGTCTGTCCGAGTCGAGCAAAACTAAGAGGAAGCGTGAACCAGGGGATTTCAAAAACGAGCTTCACCAACATTTCGCCGTGGACACCAAACAAGTAAAGATGGAGAAAAGGAGAGCGGTTTAAGTCCTCTTCCTCCTCTACAATTACATTGTCACTTCAGAGAGAAACCACAGCGATGGGATGCGTGTCCCCTACAAAATTGCAGCGTAACTATTCCAGCAGAGATCTCGACTCAGACTCCATTGCCTTCTCACTGAGCGATCTCTCCCTAGCTTCGTCAGCCTGCATAATACAAAAAATGCAACGGACCGTGAGATTGTGTATCGGACCGTTCGTTTTCACGTATGATTTTTATATATAGGTGTAAGTGGGTTCAGAGGAACAAACCATCTTCCGCCAGTTGGTGAAAAACGTGATGGCGGAGAGGAGCGTGGTCTGCGAGATGGATCCGCAGACGACGCCCATCCAAAGCCCCTTTGCCCCCATCTTGAGCACAAAACCGAGAATCAACGCCATGGGGATCCCGAGCAGGTAGAAGGAGCCGAGGTTGACGTACGCGCCCACGTGCTGCCATCCGCATCCTCGAGCCACGCCTGCAGAAGAACGTACAGATGTTAGTAACAATATAAGAGTAGTAAATTTCAAAAACAATATAAGAGTAGTACATTTTGTTGGAAACGATGGACAACTTGAAAGGTTATGCAGAAGAGATGAATGTGACCTGAGAGAACCCCTTGCAGGCCATCGGTGACCACGGTGATGCAGACAAGGGGAACCATGGCGGCAACGGCGGATGCGACCTCCTCCTCGCTGCTGTAAGCGCGGCCCAGGAGGCGCCGTGACAGCAAGAGAGCTCCACTGACGATCACCGCCTCTGTCACCGCGACTGACATCACGACACGGACCGCCGATCGAGCTCCTTCGGGGTTCCCAGCACCCAATTCGTTTGCTACTCGCGTGCTGTTCATTAAAAAAAAAGTTACAGAGTTAATTACCGGACTGAAATTATTTCCATGTGGTGAAAAAACATCGGCCATGTATTTAACTGCCTTGAGAGATCGTACCTTCCAGCAGCTCCAAGTCCATAAGGTATAGTAAAGAGCAATGTGATGCTCGTAAGGCTTTGAAAATAATGACAGTAAAAAAATGTAAGTTCAGCGTCATTGTGTAAGAAGATTTAACCCACGTAAAACTGAGATCATTTGGTAGTGGTACCATATTGAGAGCACCGAGGTTTGAAGCTCCGGGTTGGGCAGAAGCCCCGACATGAGAATAAGGAGCTCAAATGACCACCACTCAAGACTGAAAACAAATGTAAACATTACATGATTAGCCACATAAAATAAAACTGAAAAATGCAAAGTTAATTTTCATTTCCAATTACTAGGTTCAAGTGGTTACCATATCATGAGGGCAGAGGGCAGAGCCAGGCGCAGGAACACCCCCACCCCCCTGCAGGCCTTGATGGTCGGCGGCGTGCGCGTCTCCTTGCAGGAGCTCGACATCACAATGTAGGCGACGAGCATGGCCACATTGAGCCAGTATGACACGCTGATGGCCAGGGCGGCGCCGGTGTACCCCATCCCGGTCCTGAACACCATGACCCAGCAGAGCGGGACGTGGAGCGCCAGCGTCGCCACGGACGACAGGAGCAGCGGCGTGGTGAGGCTCTGCGACTGCAGGAACTTGGTGATGGGCTGGATCACCGCGTTGGCGAAGAGCCCTGGGATGAGCCACACGATGTACCGCCCGGCCCCGTGCGCGATCAGGGGGTCCTGCCCGATCAGCGCCAGGATCTTGCCCATGAACGCCCACAGGAGCGAGAGCGGGACGCACACCACCAGGAGGGTGACGATGGCTCGGTACGTGTGGAGCCCCAGAGTGTGGTACTGCCTCGCGCCGTAGGCCTGGCCGCACAGCGTCTCCAGCGCGCTCGCCATGCCGATCTGTTTCACGAATTTGTTCAGTGACATACCAACTTGATGCTGATCACTGAAAAGCGACCGTGGAGGAAATTATGCTGACAAAATGGTGCAAAATCCATTATTGCAGAAAGAAAAAGATATAGTTTGAACGGTTCTTCAGAATTGACTACAGTACTATACTTTGATGGCTGCGGAATACTTTTCCTGCGGCGTCACACTGTCGTTATCGGACTAGTTGATACTACAAGGAAATAATACCACTTTCGACCAATCAGGAATCTGATGGCATGGCGCCCACAAGTTCAGTCTCTCGCTAGTCTCAATAATTCCCAGTTAGAAAAACACAAAGTCACATGCTCATCCAACTGCAGTGGTAATATACTACTCTAAAGTCCTAGCCCAATGGGAATAAAGAACACGTGAGCTAGTCTCGTTTTCCCTTGTCTGTATTTCAACAAAGATGGAAAAAATCCTGGGAGCAATCTCGATGAGCCAAGAACACACCATGACAGTCGGCAAATCGCAATGGACGAGCAGAGCAGAGGAACGCGCGGCGTGCAACAGGGGGGAAATCAAGCTGGATGCCTGGCTATCACCAGGCGAATGGAAACTGAAGGGGGGTAAACGAGAGGCCGTAAACGGAATGGAATATGCGGAAGGAGGAAAGGGGGGAGGGGAGGGGAGGGTGGAGATAAGTGGTGTGCGTACGAGGAGGCTGAAGCCGGAGACGGAGGCGAGGGAGGTGGCGATGGCGGCGGAGGAGAGCGGGAGGACGCCGGGGAGGTGGCCGACCATCATGTTGGAGGACACCTGCACCGCGTACTGCGACAGGCTCACCGCCACCATCGGCAGCGCCAGGTACGCCAGCTTCCCGGCCTCGCTCCGCCAGCGCCCCGCCCCCTCCTCGGCGGCGTCCCCCTGGTCCTTCCGCGGCAGCAGAGGCGCCTCCGCCATCGCGCGCGGGGTGCGCTCGAGGTGGATGATCGAACGAGCTCGGGAGGCGGTCGGAGCGCTGTGTGCCCGTGCGGTCGCGGCCTGGTCCTCCTGCTGAGTTATTACTGGACCGCGCGCGCTGCGTGGGTATTAGTAATGTGTTTGCTCTGGACCGCTGCCTCCGCACGGCGCCGAGTCGTGGCCGCCGTCGTGGTCGTGACGGCACATCACTACATCAGGTTAAAAATCATGGCGCTCTGAGCATATATAACGTGGATCCTGTGCATGCCGGTCCAGGTCCAAGGTCTGTGCTGGAAAAAATTTGGAAACTGTGGAAGGGCTCCGCGTGGCATTCAGCACTGCGGTGTACGTAAGGATGTCGACGATAGAACGAGTCTTCTACCCATCGCTATGCTATCTTTTGTGATGCCCACTCCAACCCCCACGAACAAGGCCTTAAGTTCCTTTCCTCTTTTCTCTGAAGCCAAGGCTCATACTACTAATTTGGTCCACTTACGAGCCTAGCTGACCGAGTGAATTTATTCATACACTATGCTACCTAATTTTAAGGCCTTATATTCAATTGAGGTCTCCAAGCTCAAACTGGGTCACCCGATTCTTAAAAAGCTCTCTTATTCAATTCTTTTAATTATCCATCATACTTTCTAATTTTGAAGCTTTCTTGATTAATTCAATTTTGAATTTGGTTCATGATTTTAACCTGGTCAACGATTTATTAAATTAATCGGCAGCAACCAATCTATGAACACATATCAATGCCGCACACCCCTTCACCACTCAGGAAAAAAGTGCCACATGTGATGTTGTAGCATCAAAATAGTACATGCGGGCACCAACCCAAAAAAAATTCTCACTTAAGTATAAGTTAGTTAGCGGATAACACAGAACCACACTACAAAAGGCCCACCAAAACACGGTATTATAAATAAAAAGAAGCATGCCCCACCATCTCCCCCACTTGCCAAATCAAATACTCCATCAGTTTCAAAATATAAGGTGTATTAGTTTTTTGAAAGTCAAATTTCATTAACTTTGACCAAGTTCAGAGCCAAAAATACCGACATTCATAATACAAAATAAATAGGACATGAAAATTCATTTCATGATGAATCTAATGATATCGATTTGATATTATGGATATTGATATATTTCTCCACTAACTTGGTCAGACTTAAAGAGATTTGACTTTTCTAATAACTAATACACCTTATATTGAGTAAAAAATATGTGTGTATTACTTTTTTGAAAAGTCACTTTTTTTATTTTGGCCAAGTTCAAAGCCAAAAATATTGATATCCACAATACTAAATAAATAAAATATGAAATTCATTTCATGATGAATGTAATGATACCGATTTTATATTACGAATGTTGATATATTTCTCTACAAATTTGGTCAATCTTAATGAGGTTTGACTCCTCAAAGAACTAATACACCTCATATTCTGAAATAGAGGGTGTGAAATTTTTATGAAAACACAACAATACCAAGGACGCAAGAAAGCGCGCCCAACCCTTGTAGAATTTGTATGATTAGAGAACTCGAAAAGCCATTGGTATTGCAAGCCCTCTTTTGGGAGTTGGAGGGAGTGCACAAGAAGAACCATATAAAATATTTGGCAAGATGAGTCTAATGCATACATACTAGTGGCTGGGGCGTCATCGTGTGGCGCCGCTTGAGGAATGGTTATGTGTTGCGATCTTTTCTCGGGACATTAGGCTACTTTCTTTTGTCCTCGGTCTCAGTCCAGGGCAATTTGAGTTAGCAATGGTAGATAAAATACATTAACCAAGAACAAAATAAGGTCATATGTGTAGACATACAGATACTATGTTACAGAAGTTCAGAACCATGCTTGATCAACCATATCCACGAACTGAATTCAGTTACATGCTAATGCAGTTAAAAATCTCATGAGAGATTCATCTGGCCTCTTTTCACTTCCAACAACAATCACAAGTGTACTATGTAATAAGATTCACCATTGTATTATTCATCTAGTATTCGTCATACACTCATATCCCCCAAAAAGGAATACAATTCTTTTTGATCTCCTGCTACAACAACCTTCGATCAAGCCTGTAAATATCCCCATATCTAATGAAGAGATCATCAGTGCCACACTTTAGTTCAACTACCTGTTTGTAAGGTATACAAATATAATCAAGTCCAACAATCAAAATGTAGATTACAAAAACAATGGTATAAAATGATAAACACATATAGAATAAAATGTACTGTCAATGTAAGCTTAAATTACAAAGAAAACAATGTCGTATGAGAGAAAAGTGTTTAGCATAGTGACAACAGAATTAGCTCACCCCTTCATACTGATGTATACCAGAGATGGTCAGTGCCGTAAGCTAATCTTCTTTATAGTTCTTTTCTTGTGGATTTTTTGGTGTCCTTTTACAACCCGAATCAGTTAATATGGGATGGACACATGGGATTACTGGGATATGGCGGAGTACGAGTGTAGCGACCCGACCTCAAACGGTCAAGTCTCTGTGCTTCAGTGTCATCCCTGGATCGGTAATGCTGACACACATAGTACTCGAAGGATTTATAACAGAGTAGCAATCACACACTTATTACATCGGATGTCTCAAAAGAGATCTTATTACAATAAATATGGCTTAAGGCCATCTAGTACGATAACAGCGGAAGGCTTGGAAGATAAAGTGAGTCCATCAAGTCCAACGGCATACCTGAGCTGCACGACAACGACCTAACGAACCTTACTCCTCGTCTGAAAAGTCTGCAACATAATACGTTGCAGCCCGAAAACGGGTCAGCACATGAAATATGCCGGCAAAGTAACACAGTAGAGAAAGAACATAATAATGCTATCACTACATGCATATTTGGCTGGTGGAAAGCTCTATGGTTACAGTTTTGCGAAAAGCAATTTTTCCCTACAACAAAGGAATAGATTTTAAATTTACTATCATGGTAGTTGAAACATCATTGAGAAGGTTCCTCCAACTCAATCCCAATTAAAGTGATTAACAACCCAACAATATTAATTAAGAGTGATGAGATACTTAAGATACTCCAAGTACTAGATACTCAAGATTGTCCATAACCGGGGACACGGCTAACCATGATTAGTTTGTACACTCTGCAGAGGTTTGCGCACTTTTCCCCACAAGACTCGATCGCCTTCGTTGGATTTCTCGCACTAAATGGTGTTTGAGAAACGGATGACCGAGACACAGTCTTTCAGAAACATTAACTCTCTACTCCGGACAGACCATACCAAACCTACATCCCTCTACCTGCTGATCTGCATCTTCAAGAGCTTCACGTAACTTACTCAACTATGCTAGAGCCCATAATAGCTTATGGCTGCACACGGAAGTTTCTAGCATGAATAATCTCAGTTCCCTTTGAGTCTGTATGGCGGTCCATAGGAAAATCACATGGGTACTCCGGGATTTCCAAAAATACACGCAACACTGGGTACTCCAGGTGCCTCAATCCACCCAAATGTGTATTTAAGTTGCCACCTTAAGTTAAACCATTAATTATCAATCTGACATCTGTCATGGATTTCACTCACCCAAACCACGTCTACGAGCATAGCATAGAAGTATAAGCAACGCGTAGAAGTAACTCCCAAGGGTTTGAATGTAACAGGGCAATAGGTTCTACCTCATCAACTACTTCCCAACCCACAAGTTAATGACATCCTAATCATGCAATGTTTGAGGATTGGAACTAATGCATAAAAACTGGGTGATAAAGGGATATGATTAAAGTGTTACTTGCCTTGCTGACGATCCACGTAACCTAGAGACTCCAAATAACACGCTTCGCACTCCGGGAATTCTATCGCAAACAAACAATAGCATACATAAGCAACACTCAAAGAAGCACGGGTAAAACTCAAATAATAAGACCTAACCGGAAAGTTCAACCTAAGAACTCCGGTTTGCAAAAAGAATCAAATCAAACGGGGCAACGAATCTCAAACGGCGAAGGAAACAAGATCCGTTTACTAATCTGAACTAAGGTCAAATTTATAGTACCAAAATCTTGTTCAAGTTGGTTAAACAGAAAGAGGGTCTCGAGACGAAGATCTAGGTGCTTC